AGTGGGCCATGTGGGAGTCCAGTGACATAACCGCTACACCATCTGCTGGTCCCTCACCCAAAGATTTTATTTAAAACATACTATAATAAAACACCAAAATATCTTTGGGTGGTGGTACTATGGGAATTTTTACTCTATTTTTATGTATTTTTTCTAATGTGTATGTGTTTGTTTTAGACTAAAACAAAATCTAAATAAACTTTTTGGAGGAGGGGGACCAGCAGTTGACATAATGGCTATGTCACTGGACTCCCATGTAGTTTACTGCAGTTCGAGTCCCGGACCCGGTGGCTTAAACTCACGCCGGGCACATGTGCATACATGCCCAAAATCCTGAGAGGAGAATGGAGGAGAAAGGATCATGGCGTGACCATCCCCCCTGGAGAGATTTTTTTTTTTTTTTTTTTTTTTTTTTTTGTCTGTGCTTTTTTAAGAAGAAAGCGAGAGACGGAAAGCAAGAAATCCCCCTCGGGGGGGTTGGCCACTCTGTGATCCCTTCTCCTCCAACCTCCTCTTGGGATCTTGGGCGCACAAACACACACATCCGGCGTGAGTTTAAGTCACTGAGTCTGGAGCTCAAACCACAGTCAACTACATGAGTGTCCAGCAACATAGCCATTATGCCAACTGCTGATCCCCTAAACTTTATTTTTCTAAGTATTCCATATTTTATATTCTATAATCCTTTCTTCCTACTAATCTTTTCTACAAAGTGAAAATTTGCTCTCTTGAGATTTTTTACATAAGTAATTTCTGCTCTTGTTTTGACTCTCAAATTATAAGTTGTATAAAATATCTCTCATGTTTCTTTTTCCAAAAATCTAATGTTCGACGTCTAGTCCAGGACAGAAGATAAAATAGAGAGATTCAAGAAAGCAGTTGAATAATATTCAGTCACAACCAAACTGTCTTCACTGCCAGTGGGTCCTTCCTTTCTAGGTAAGGCTTCCATCTGACCCCAAGCTGCTCTACTTGTAGGAAAAACTAAATTGGTCCCTTAAGAACTCTGTAACCCAAGTGGAATCACTGTGTTGTGCTCTCATAGAAGTGATTTCTGTTTGGGAAACATTTTCCTTTTGAGTTCTATATAATAAGAGAAGTGACATAAGAAAGGGCTCTGCTTTTTCATATTTATAGATGGGATACAATGCCATCTCCTTATCTTGCGCTTCTTCTGGGGATAACCCCCATTCTGGCCTGGTATATGTAAAAGAGCGTTGTCTTTGGGGTCAGGCTTGAGTGTGAATTCCACCTCTGCTCTTACCAGTTGTTTGATCTGAATAAATCACATTTGTTATGAAATATGTGTCATTATACCTACTTTATTGGATTATTTTCAGATTAAATATTGGGTTGTCAGAAAACTAATGATGCATTTTTTTATAGAAAAACATAAAAACATCATGGATTTTCTTTCAGCCTAATAATTTATTTAAGGTTCCTGGCATGGTACATAGTAGCTGTTCAATAAATCATCACTTATTTATTAATCATGATTTTTCATGTGCTATGGGGTTAACAGAATGTAACATGGTGGAATTAATAGGATTGACTAAAGTAGAGTCCTCTCTCTTGGCTTTAGGTTTTCGGAATAATCGGCTTGGAGCTCCTCCCCCTCCACAAAATCAAATGAGTACCATTTCTGCTGGAAAGCCAATGGTAAGCATCCTTTAAAAGGCCTGAAGCCATTTGTTCATATTGGATTCCAGCCTCTTCCTCATTTTTATAATCTGAGCTAAGGAGTTAGAGTAATTCAATGTTATAAGACTCTCAAGGCCTTGTATACCTCCATCACATTTTCAACTTGAGCCTGTCAGACTATGTAAAGAAATCATCCTAATCAGTAACCACTAGGGCATTGTAAGGGTAGATTAGCTAATGTCCAACAACAACAACAAAAAGGTTCTAAGTGACCTGGTTTGGTTCTATTGTCCTGCCTCTACAGGATTCCACTCCTATATCACTGTTAGAATTATTTCTTGTAATTCTCGGTAGATACTTTGTATCTAAACAGTCTCTGCTACTGGCATTATCCACTATGTCACAACTTCTGAGAGGACCATCTTGGAGCCTGGTAAAATGTTAAATAGCTTTTCTATCTGTTTTGTTCTTTAGTTTTCTCACCAAGTGCCCCAGAAAATGAAATACCCACCACCATTCTCAATGGGACCCAACTCAGCTCTTCTCTTCTCCCCTCATGCTCTGGGGGAATCCCATGCTTTTTCTGAGGATCCCATGTTGCAGGACAGCCCCTTTGCCAATTGGGCTGTGTCTTATGACTCCTCTGCATCCCAGTTTCCCAATTACCTGACTTCTAAAGCCTCAACTCCTTTGGGACAAAACTCTTCCCACTCTTCTTCCTCTGATGGTGATGAGCCAAATGGAGCCAACTCTGAGTAAGTATCTGTATAAACACTCAGGGGAACAGACTTCTGAGGCATCT